ACTTCTGTAGTGATACTGCCTTGGAAACCCAAGGAGGGGTCGCTATGAGTCGGGGCCGACTTGACAGCAAACAACAACAACAACAATGGCTAATGATTGTGAGCATTTCTTCATGTATTTGCTGGTCACCTGAATATCCTCTTTGGAGAAGTGTATATTCATGTCTTCTGCCCATTTTTTAGTTGGACTATTATTCTTTTTATTGTTGATGTGTTGGAATTTTCTACAAATCTTAGAGATAAGTCCCTTGTCAGATATGTAATTATCAACAAGTATGAAATTTGTTGCTGTCATTTTAGTTATGTGCTTTATCGTGGTGTTGATTTCTTTGTTCCATATTATTTTCTGTGCTGAGTTCATTTTACTTATGAATCATGTTATCACTTCCTTTGTTGATATTGTTTTAGCATTTGCTAAATATTTGTGCTGGTCTTTTTTATTTTGATGTGAAGGTTTATCATTTTTCTTTGAGATTACCCTGTGATTTATAATTTTCTTCCCAAGTTTAGAATAGTCCATTCTATCTTGCAGTTGTTTTGACTCCCCTACCATTTAGAAGTTCTGTAACTACACAATTTTTTCCTTCTTTTTGGTTTGTGGTTGTCCTCATTTGTCAACTGATGTCTCCGGTTCCCTGTTTATTAACTGGGTTGGTTTCTGAGTTATGTCATCATGTGTGTTAATGGTCAGTTGTTGTTGACTGTTGTTGGTTCTCTGTCTAAAGGACTCCCTTTAGCATCTCTTATAAGGTTGGTCTGGTTTTAACAAATTCCCTTAATTTCTGCTTATCTGGAAATATCCTAATTTCACCATCATATCTGAGGGACAGTTTTGTGGGTATATATTTCTTGGCTGGAAATTTTTCTCTTTCTGGGTTTTATATATACCATCCCCATTGTCTTCTCACCTGCATAGTTTCTGCTGAGAAATCCAAGCTTAGTCTTATTGGTTGCCCCTTGTAGGTTACTTTTTGTTTTTCCTGTGCTGCTTTCAGGATTCTTTCTTTGTCTTTGGTTTGGTGAGTTTGATGATGATATATCTTGATTTTCTTTTGGGGTCTATCCTGTTTGGGGTTCATTGGTCTTCTTGAATGATATATTCTCATCTTTCATCATACCAGGAAAATTCTCTTGCAACAAATCTTTGACAATTTTTTTTTGTGTGTGTGGTTTTATTTGTGTCTTCCTGTTCTGGAATTCCAGTTCCATGTAGGTTATTCCTTTTGATGATATCCCACATGAACCTTAGGCTTTCTTCATTTTTGTTTTGATCTTTTTTCTGATTGATCCCTTTCCAAAGACGTATTGAGGTATTTGTCTTCAATCTCACTAATTCTGTCTTCCATTGATTCAACTCTACTCCCTTGCCCATTCAATGTGCTATCTATTTCTGAAAATTTAGTATTAATCTTCTGGATTTCTGTCTGTAGATTTTGTATCATTTCTAGTTTTTCATTTATTTTGTCATTTAGCTCTTATATTGTCTTTCAAAATTGTTTTAGGGTTTTCTCTGTTTTCCTCAATTTTGTCAGTGTTTCCTCGATCTGTCTCTCAATTTGTTGAAGGTACCTAAATATAATTCTGTTGAATTCTTTATCAGGGAGTTTCAAAGCAGCTTCTTCCTCAGGGATGTGTTTTGGGTCCATATCCTGGTCCCTTGTTTGTCTTGCTTTATCTTCCTTTTTGTGTGTATTGTGATCCTCTGTTGTCTCTGAGGCATTGTATGTTTTGTGTTTATATTTAATTAGTGATTGTATGTTGGAGTGGAGCTCTGGTGGTGCAGTGCCTAAGGCATTTGACTGCTAACCAGAAGGTTGGCAGTTCAAACCCATCAGCCACTCCTCAGAAGGAAGGTTGGGCAATCTCCTTCTGTAGTGATACTACCTTGGAAATCTAAGGAGGGGTCGCTATGAGTCAGATCCAACTTGACAGCAGTGGGTTTATGTTGGAGTAACTTGCCCACAATTTTCATTTTCTTTTGTTTGGATGTTACCTATGTGAGCAGGGTACTGTGCTGTACTCCTCTATTGGCTAGTTGGCAGCACTTATACACTCAGCACCTGTCTCCTTTCCTGTTGTCTGCCTTTTGTATGTCCCTGCCATCTTTGGCAAACAGAGCCTATTCTTACATCCCTGGAATCCAAAATAGAATGCTGTCACTTTAAAACTCAACATGGCCACCACTTGTAAACATTCAAAATGGCTGTGCCCTTGGTCACTTTAAATATCCAAAATGGTCATCACTTATAAACATTCAAATTGGCTGTACCCCTGGTCACTTTAAATATCCAAAATGGCCACCTCATGTCAACAATCAAAATGGCTGCACCATCCGGACAGCAAAAAGCCCATGGCTCAGGTTGTTTCCCTCCTTGTTGTTTCCCTTCCTAGTTGTAGGCCACCAGCACAGTCATCCTGCAGCCCTTGGCTACCAGGCCTGATCGTTAGGGCAATTCTCAGGTTCCAACACCACGTGGAAATATTCAGGGTGTTGATCCCATCAGAGTAGCTGACAGTCCACTGCTCAGACACCTCACTGCTTTTGTTCAGGTTTTTCCACTAATTGTTGCCTAATCCACTTCTGTATACTTCCTTGCAAAGCTCAAGGCTCCAAGATTACTTTCTGTATCTCTGTCAATTGGTTTATCTTTCCTTTGTTGAAGAGGGTCTGTGTAGCTTGTCTGTTTATTCTGCCATCTTACCAGAAGTTCCATATTTAGACTTTTGATGAGAACTGTTTTAAGAAAGAAAACTAAGTCATAAAGAGTGTTGTTTCTTTTTCTGTAGAAACAAACCTTCAAATCTCAGTTTTAGGACCTCTTTGAAGGAGCCCTGGTTTCATAGTGCTTAAATCACTCAGCTGCTAACCGAGAGGTGGGCATTTTGAACCCACCAGCTGATCCACAGCATGAAGATCTAACAGTCTGCTTCCATAAAGATAGCCTTGGAAACCCTATTGGGCAATTTTACTCTGTCCTATAGGGTCACTATGAGTTGAAATCAACTTGACAGCAATGGGCTTCTTTGAGTAGGTGAAGATGGCTGCAGAGATAGCTAGCCGCTGTCCATAAAGTTCAAGTCCCTCAACTCTCTTATCTGTGGGGCTGATTTTTCTTCTGGCTCTGACTTACACTCTTTCAGATTTTAAGAAGGCCTATGGACTCATATACACTTCTTCCAGGTTTTGCTTGCCAACCCAAGTTAGATTGTCAAATGTCCTTGCCTCTTACTCTAATTCATACTTGTCCATTGTGCTAACTCTGTTCAGTTACTAGGCTCTGAAGATGCCAAAATACACATTTCTGCTCCATTATTCAAGGTGTTGATAAGCTTTCACCCTCTAGACTTTTATCCTAAAGAAAGGAGAGAGAAAACATATCTAGGTTAAAGGGTGACAACTTTTTTTTTCA